CACAGGTGTGTGAACACAAGTGAATTTGGCAAGTATCTAATAAACTGTACAAAAAACTGTAAGTAACTTTATCTACTTTTGAAGTAAAGGTTTGTGAAATGGTCCTTTTACCATTCAAATATTAGCACTGGCTAGAAATATTCTCTATTTTTGAAAGCATCTATGGTTGATGCATTTATCTATGTCTATTTCTCTATTTTTTTACTCCAAAGCTTGGTTGCAGCTTGAGCCAAGGCATATTTCTTATTTGTGACTTCTGTCACTTTTAATGGCTGTAACATTATTCTGATTCTAATATTATAGCTGCTCGATCAAAAGGATAACATTGTATGGTACTATTTTAACTCTTATGTGGAAATGTGTTTCTGAAAAACAAAGGAAGTCAAATTCTACTTTTTTACTACTATTTAACATCTACTAAAACGCTACAATACTCATACTTTATCATTTTAAAACATTTTAACAGTTGCTCAGTCTACCAGACTAAAAAGTCAAAGTTTTTGTCTGTCAAATGTCTGAATACTTAACATGTATTGCATTTGGTCACAGTTGTGGTTCTGGTTGTAGCAATAGCATCGGCAATAGACAATTTTTCATTGGCTGGTTCTTGTTCTGCAAATGGCTGTGTCCAATAGATCATCAGATGTCCAGAAGCTAGGGACAAACAAAAACAAAAGAAAGAATCATGAGTATCTCTCTCATTTAGCACTCATCAATGTATGATTTCAAAAATATAAACATCACTCCCCAGTTTTTCTCTCCAAGTTCCTCAGGTCCTCAGGTCCTCAGGGTCCTCAGGGTCCCCTGAGGGTGAGTCTCAGTCTGGTCCATCAGGTCAGGTCATATTTCGAGAGATGTCATCTTGGACATCAGAAGGGTCCAAGCCATAGTTTTGGTCTCCAGATGCACATCAGGATCTCCAGATACAGTCTTTTCACTTGAAGCACATCAGGTCATTTGCGATGCACTTCTGGTCAATGGTGCAGTGTCACAGTTCCTGTACACAGCTTGTTATTCAATAGTTACTCTCTATGGTTAAGTCACTTTGATTCTACTTTAAAGACAATTTCTATTCATGCTGTTGCTAATGTCCCTCAGACAAAAGCAAGCGCAGTTTACTTCTCTAATTTGTGTTTTTATCAGATCTAATCAATGTAATTACTTCACACAGTACAAAATCAACAAATCAAAACAAAAAATGTCAAGACAGGCCAATTAAGTCCATGACAATATTGAATACAAATGAACATTTCTGGTCTCAAAAAATACTGATTCAAGTGATAGACAATTAAAAATGTGTTTACATTGGAGTAAACTTTTAAAATGCTTTTTTCTCATGTTCTGCTTTTTCATGTATCTATATTTAAATGTGAATGTGTGTGTGTATGATTTTGTGTGTGTGTGTGTGGATGTATGTATGTAGGGTGTGAATTTTGGGGTTGTGTCTCCAGACTCCTCGAACCACCTGTAGGTGTCAAAGGTCACACTGTGGTGATGTAAACCAACTGGACACACTCTCAACTCTCCTACAGGTCTCTCCCTGATGCTCCACCATCACGTCTCCAGACACCTCTCTCTACCCGGTCTCTCTCACACCCACTCAGTTCTGGAGTGGCGTGGGGAGGGGCAAGGAGGTGGCATTTTCCTTTGCTCTTTGATCTGTGACCTGTGGCTGGGTGGGCTTTGCTGGGCTCCTGTGGTCTGAGCCCTCAGTGTCCACTCCCGCAGTCCAGTGACCCTGTACAGTGTGTGCCCTTGGTCCTGGAACACAACCTTATAGTCAAATTCAAAACAACAGATATCAGTTTGTGAGTGAGATTGTTTTTCTCTCTAAAGTCTAAACAATTTTGTAGCGCTCTTGGCTTTCCAACATGCGCTATATAAATAAAGATTACTTATTATCTTACTAATGATGACATTTTAAGACCAGAAACTCAAAAACAAGACTCAAATCTCAAAAAACCTTCAAACTTTAAAATTTGTATTATGTACTTTTGTACTGTGTGTTTACTTATCTATGCATCCTTGGGTTGGGTAAAAATGAAAATTAATTTGAAAAAACATTAAAACATAACTTGAAAACATGAAATCAAATCAAAAGATTAACTAAACTGGATTAATCACTTTATGGAATTTCCCTTTTACACTTGAACATTTATCTCAGCATTTATTCTAAGACTATTTTGTAATCTCAGTGAGGTTTTGTGGTCAAATATATTGTACCGTCAATGATTATGAATATGCCTATACAGAGTAATTATTATGTGAGAGTTGTGTGACTTCTGATCCCGCACACAACAGCACCAGGAAACCCTATTTGGGCGGCACGGTGGCACAGTGGTTAGTGCTTGTGCCTCACTGCAAGAAGGATTCCACCTCCAGGCCTTCTTGTGCAGAGTTTGCATGTGCCTGTGTAGGTTTCCTCCGGGTGCTCTGGTTTCCCCTACCACTAAATATACGTACAATAGGCTGGGCATGTGCCTCCTGTATGGTGACCCTGCTCCTACCTCTATGTGGAGTGAGAGAAAAACGCCCACAACAATTTTAATCTTAATATTTTATCCCTCAGATCACGGTGAAGTCAGGGCTCACTCAGGTCACTGTCTACATGAGAGAAAGTGGCTCTCACTGGGTTTGATATTTGTTAAACCCATTATTTTAATGTTTGCATGTGTGATTATGTTGGAGAGTAAAAAAACCCATAAACAATTCAACTTTATAACACTCATGTTTAATTAATCATTAAATGTTGGCTCATAGGGTCAAACATACAACATGCAACACAAACACCTGCCACCATGAATTATCTCATATTGTATAAATGCTGTTCCATTAGGCTACAAATTCTCTACTCAGTCAGTAGAGAATCTCAAATTAGGAATCAACAACACATAAAGTTAAATCAGACAGTAATGTAAAAAATATAGAAACAAACAAAAACGTAAAAGCAAATATACCTACCTTTTGTCCATGCGGGAGAGCAGCTGTACTTTTACCTGGTTGTAGACAGACTTCTGAGCAGGAACTAAACATGGTTCTTTCAGTGCAGACCCAGTATATTAATGATTCAGACAGGACCTAAACTTCAGCTGTAATCAATTCACATCAAGGCAGACGAATAGATATCTAAAACACCTTTTCATTTTGACGTTCTGAATGTGCCATTAAGTCATTATTCTCCCCCTCTCCACCAGTGTTGGGTGTAACGCGTTACTAAGTAACACGTTACTGTAACGAAATTACAATTTGAGTAACGTAGTAGTGTAACGCGTTATTATGAAAATACGTTTCATTATATTACAGTTACTACCTAAATACTTCGTTACCGGCGGCACCGGCCTCGGGAAAGCAGGGGAGAACTGCACTACCGCTCCATGGGTGCCTGCGTGCTTACGTCACGCTGCGCACATGAGCGAGATTGTTTGTAAAGCAACATGGCAGAGTCAGAGGAGAAGAGTTCTTTTTACCGGTGGAGATATGCACACTATTTCAACTACATCAGTCAAAAAGATAAAAACGTTGTCGTGGAGTGCAAGCTTTGCGCGGGCAGCAAGCGATTGTCCACCGCAGCCAACTCATCCTCGAACCTTTTAAAACACTTGCAGCGTCAACACTCAACTGTTAAGATAGTCGCTAAAGAGCGTCGCAGCGAAGCCGCCGCCGCCTCCTCCTCCTCCTCCTCCTCCTCCTCCGACAGCACAACACCAACACGATATAATAAGCAAGCTCGACTTGAATTACGCTGTCAGGTAACCTCAGTCGCCGTCTTTCAGAAACATTTTACATTTTTATGTTATGCCATTTGAGCCAGTTTTGATTTGTTGTTGACCTTTATTTAAATGGCTTTAATAAAGCAAACATACAAACTTGATTCTGTTCTCTTTTTTGTGACACGAAGTAATCCAAAAGTAATGTAACTTAGTTACTTTCTTGGGGCTGTAACTAAGTAATGTAACTAATTACTTTTTTTAGAAGTAACTAGTAATTTGTAACTAATTACATTTTCAAAGTAACTTACCCAACACTGCTCTCCACCAACAAATTCACAAAAAGACAAAAGTTCAGTATTTGGGGGTTTCAGACGACCAACAGAAACACTATCAGGAAAGAAGTTGGTATAGGTTGCAAAGAATGGGATCGAACTAAATGGATTATCCCAATGAAGTTTAAAAAAAAAAAATCAACGTTTTTCTAGGGCTCATAGTTCCCATTCACATGTGGTTTCACTGCGACACCTGCTGGTGAAGTATAGAAACAACAGAAAAGATTAGAATCAGAATCTGATTCCAACACTACAGTGTCAAGATGGCAGCAACTCAATAGAAACTGAGAAATGAAAGAAAATGATTATGTGAGCCATTCTTACATTGCTAAAAGGAAAAAAAGTTCTAATAATTCAATGGTTAAAGCAGTGTTTTTCTCATTTCAACACTACTTTTTTGTCTTTAAATGCATGTGGTCAGTTGATTTCCGTAGTCTTAATTTAAGTCATTTTGAACCTTTTACCTTAACTCTTCTGTGAGAAGTTAACTCACACATCTGCACATTTCTGCTCCTTATATGAAATAACTATAGCAGATGAAAACACGACAAGTTTGATATAGTTAGTCAGGCTTCTAAGTTAGTTCATTCATGTCCATCAATAATTCAACGGATAACTTATAATCATAAATAATATATATGGCTGTCCAGTCTTGGATAAGTAAAATGTTGTGATTGGTTCGAAAGGTACCCCACGTTTAAGAATGCTATGACAGTAATGCAAGGCTCAATGGGCTTTTCCCCTTCGTGATAAGCTGTAGAAAGTCCTCTTACAATCGGACAGTTTCACTCAAAAACACAAAAAGATAATGAGTCTAACATCACATCCAGCCATGTAGCACTTGCGCCATCAAGCGGTGACACCTGCAACGACAGTCCATTAACAGGCGCACAAGTTGTCCCATAAAGTAGCACCACTCCTGGCTGATGATGTCCTGTCAGATGTCCTGTAATAACATTCAACCCGTGTGAAAATAGCGCTTGATGGTGCGGTCGGTCTGGATCTGGATCAGAACCGGGGGCCCATCTCCACACACCGCCGTCCCCATGTGTGAGCGCTCCAAACCCGGCTGGCTGTCCTCCTCCAGAGCACGGGGTCTGATTAATCCATGAGTCTTTTCATACGCATGTGAAACGCATTTACATCAGCTCTGGGGCCGGCTGACAGATTTATGGGCGAACAGCTCCTAAATCAGAGAAGCTCTCTTCAAGGGCGCAGCGGGATTGGTGCGAGCGGAGCGACACTGCGCATGTGCAGAGAGAGAGAGAGAGAGAGAGAGAGAGAGAGAGAGAGAGAGAGAGAGAGAGCGAGAGCGAGAGAGAGAGAGAGAGAGAGAGAGAGAGAGAGAGAGAGAGAGAGAGAGAGAGAGAGAGAGAGAGAGAGAGAGAGAGAGCGAGAGAGAGCGAGAGCGAGAGCGAGAGAGAGAGAGAGAGAGAGAGAGAGAGAGAGAGAGAGGGACTGACTAAAGTTGATTGACAGGGCGATCCTTAAATTTCTTACAACTTGACAGTAGATACTATAACCACTCTACTACTCGGTGTATTGTTATTAACCTGGCTTTCTGCGATAAACAAAATGTACATTATTCATTAAACAAAAGTTACGTCCTTAACATTACGTAGATACTTTTTTACAGTGCAGGTGAGAGCGTTTGTCTTCTTATGCGATCTAGTATTTATAAATGCATTTAAAACATACAGACATTTAATCCTTATTGCAACAATTTTGTATTTCATTATCCAAAAGCCTATATGAGCATAACAACAGATTAGTATAGCATTATATTGCAGATTATGAATATGTATAAAGTTTTCAACATGTTGCAAACAACACTAATCCTCCATGTATTTGTTGATATGGTCCCAAAGAACCATATGTATTTGCCATTTATTCAGGATATTTAGTTTTGTGTGTGGGTTTATATAAGTGTATGTGCAGTGTGTGCATTTTCTCGGTTGTGTTTTTGTATATATATTATAAAAAGTACTAATAATAGTGTTATGAAATGTTTTATTTTTCATAATTTATTCTTAATATTCCATCTGTTTTATTTGGTCCAATTTTTACGTTATTTCATACTTTATCTATTTAATTGTATGTATTTATTTTATTTTATTCCTTTTTTATTTGTAATTGATGTATACATACTTTTCGTATATTACTCATGATTTTATCGTATTTATTTTTTCGTAAATTATTCATAATTTTTTCATATTTTTTTGTTTTTGTTTTATAGTTTCCAGTGTATTGCCCTTGTGGCCTCGCGCAGACTGAGATCCTCGCAGCTCGGAGCCTCACCGCACACTGACCGCTCTCTCCCTTCAGACCCCTCCGCCTGGGTGATTGACACACTCTCTCCTCCAACCACACGCCACAAATCCAAACCTCGACCTTCCATTGGCTCTGGGTTTTAACTGTGACACTCAACCAGAGCCAATCACAGCGAGCCTTCACTTTAGATTTACGACCGCCATTTTGCCTCAGTTTTCTGGAAGTTTCGACAGATTATTCCCCCCCTCAACACATCAACACACTACTATTACATTGCATCGGTGTTAAATGTTTGTTCTTGACTAAATCTTGACCATTTCTATATCAGACACATTTACAGTTAGGATTAGCGTTAGGACTCTTGAATTTGGTTGAAGTTATGGCTTTGGCTAAGGTATTTTAGTGAAGCCTTGGAAGTGGTGTGGGAGAGAACATTGTCGAAGGCGCCCCACAGCGAAAGCATATGGAAGCAATCTCAAAGCGGGCGAGTTGTCTGCAAATTGACTTGTAAGAATCAAAATACCTTGTTCAGAACATGGTTTTATGTCTTTTCTTTTTGCAGAGACGAGTTTTGCTTGAGATTTGATGGAAGGAGCAGATTAATTCTCCATTTGACTGGGGTTTTTCCACTTGTTTTGTCCAAACGGTGCTGTTTTCGCTGGCTCTCCGTCACTTCTCATAGTACTTCACTGTATTATGTTGAATGTGACTCCAGAGCTGGTTAGCACATTTATCACCGTGTCTCACCACACAAGCCACAGTTAGCCAAAGTTTCAAGGGTAATTTCTTTTTCATATAAAAAATCTGGCATTTTTATGAAGCAGGGCATTTTAAAACTCACAGATCTACTTTTATCATCCCCAAAATGCAGTTATATTTCCACCAATGAAAGGTCAAAAACTTTTATTGACCCTTATACGTCTATTATTAGTATCACAGTATACCATTTTAGGTGCCTCAACATGGCTACAAAGTCAGTCAGATCAAATTAGCCTTGACCTTTTCATTTTGTAGACTTTCTGATTGCACTTGTTATTAAACACACACTATGTCCAGATTTAAGAACATATTAACATGTCTTGTTATTATTATACCAATTTTAGTGTGTACGGATGTATAGATATATGTTTGTTTGAATAGACGTCCTTATTAATAGCCCTTTTTATTCCCTTATCTGAACTTTGTAAAGCGCTTTGGGTGACCTTGGTCTGTAAAATGTGCTATATAAATAAACATTACTTACTTACCTAATTATTTTCACTTAAACGAACCCTGCTTTCTTTTCTATTAATACACATTTTGCTCACATGATGTACAAGATGTACTTTTATATCCATTATATTAGCTAATGTTGTATAGTTTTATTTCACTGGGTCTTCAAAATGTAACTCAGAAACATACTTTTAACTGAATATTCCAACTTTGGAGTTGTCCAAGCCACCAATAATAAATTGGTTTCAATTCTCATTTGTTTACGTCTAACAAACGCAGTCTCCTCTTCGTCCAGCAGAGGTCGCCAGTGTCAAGCTTTTCCTCGCAGATTTCGGCGTTCACACTGGCTGCATCCGAATTCATAGAATACCTCCTTCCTTATAATTCTGTCTCTTTTAAAATCGATTTGTTTTTAGGATCAAAGAAGCTACAAGTTTGCTCAGGTAAAACAACTATGTCATAACGTAATATATCTAAAATGCGTAACACTAGCAAGTTAGGGTGTGCTGAACTTTAAGATTCTAGAATTGAAAACAAAGAAAGCGTACTAATTTTCTATTTTGTAATCATGATAGTGATATTTTGCAATAGTCAGAAATCCACACATTTCAAATAGAAGCATAGAATAATTTTCAACAATAAATTTTCTCCAATAAATGCAGATATTATGACTTTGCTGAATCTTATCAAACCGCTTTGAAATATATATCACTTGGTGTGTGACTGATTTTATTCACATTTAACACAAATCTGGTCATTGCAATAACGTTTTGAGATTTGTATTCTGTATTGTAACAAGGGTTTTATTTGTATATGTGTATTTTCACAGCACTTTCATTATCAAGTGAGGTTTTTAATGTGTAAAAAAGAAAATCTTGTTTGGATGCAGACTTCATTGTGACCCTTTATTTCTGTACATATTGTGCCAAACAGATACTTACTGAATGGATTGATAGTACCCTGTTTAGGTATGGTATCATAATGACCCATGGTTTAAGATAATCAATTCAACTTTATAAAATACTTTAGGTCCATTATAGTCCCAGCAAACTTGAAACGATAGGCAGCACCAAACCAGCAAGGTCAATAAACAGGAGAAGGAATTATGTTTTTTTTTAATTATCATTACACAAAACAAGTATAAACACAAAAAAAATACACCAAAAAAATACAGCAACACAACAATAACACAAATCTCTAAAAGCAAACACATAAAACATGTAATACCTTGTAACAATAATGAGAATTGCTGGCCCCATGCGTTCATTTTCTTTTTCAGAAGGAATTAGGTACTCAATTCAACTGTATTTCAGACTCTAGGTCCAATTTAGTATAGTATCAGCAAACTTAGAAAGATAGGCAGCTCTAAGCAAGCCCTAGAAACGTCAATAAACAGGAGAAGGAAGGATAAGAAAAGTGAGTGACATTTGAATTGGGATGCAGCCTGTGGACTCCCCTTCTCCAATTGAAACGTTACAGATCCGTGCTTCTGGCAGCTCTGACTAAGCATGAGTTACATTGAAAAGCAGCTTTTTGTTCCTCGCTGACATTATACCTCCCTGTCTTTCATCGTGTGTGCGTCCCCGGGCCCTTGAGCCTGGGGGCCCCGGCCAGCTCCGCTCAGAGTGAAGTGCTGACAGCTCCTTTCTTGGGTTTTCGCTCTCTTTTATTTTTTTTTTCTCTTCCCTCCAGTGCAGCAGCAGCGTCGCAGGCCTGAGAGAGGAAGGCGCTGGTGGAGGATTTGATGTCAGAGTTGGGGAGATGCCCGGCTCCGATAAACTGACTGGCAGCCGTCTTCTCGGAAAAGAAAACAGACGGAGGGGCCGCGTAAACAGTCCAACCGTATCAGATCGTACACACACAGTTATTACCCCTGCTGGAATGGCTTTAGGTCAAAAGTAAAAGTACTGGCCATTAAAAGTGACGTCAGCAACTTCGATTGTATATAATTTTTCATTTTTTAAAGAATAAATACGTCTGACCAGTCCTAATATGTACAGTAAGAATTCTACATCAATGATAGATATTTAATTGATCCTCATAAGAGAAATTCAGGTGTCCAGCAGCAGAAACACACCCATTCAAACAAATAAATACATAATTCTAAAAGTAGGGCAATAGTGATGAAGTGCAACAGGTTACAACAGTGGAGGTGGTGTAGAGCTGCTTCCGATGCTCTGGTGGATGTGTGCAGAGTCTGCTTGGTTCAGACTATTTTCTCTACTCTGGTTCAGAGTGAAATTCCAAAAGCTTTATTAGCTTTATTACCCCCCCCCCCCCCCCCCCCCCCTTCCCTGAAAACAATTTGCATTCCTCCACTGGATTTATGCTTGATCTGGTCACTTTGAAGCTGGGGTAGCTAACTTTCCATCTGACCACACGGACACTAGTTTTGACTCTATACTAGCTTTAAATCTCTAACTTTAGCATAATAAACAGCAAGTGTAAATCTCTAACTTCAGCATGATAAAGAACAAAGTGATAGAAACCCAGTGCAATGGCGGCACGGTGGCTGAGTGGATAGCACTCTCGCCTCTCAGCAAGAAGGTCCTCGGTTCAAATCCCGGTCGGACCAGGGCCTTTCTGAGTGGAGTTCGCATGTTCTCCCTTTGTCTGCGTAGGTTTCCTCCGGGTACTCCGGTTTCCCCTACCACTAAAAATATGTCCAATAGTTCTGGCATGCGCCTCCTGTACTGGCGACCCCGCTCCCATCTCTGTGTGGAGTGAGAGATAAATGCCCAAAAATTAACAATTGTAAACTGCTTTGAGACTCAGATCTGCAGTGAAAAGGCGGTATATAAATAAAGACTACTACTACTACTATGGAAGACTTATTATGATATGACAATCTATCTATCTGTTTTTTGACTCATTGAAAACGGCACAGTTCAGTTGCACAGCAGATATAGGGGGTGTGTAGACGGTGAAAACGGGGGTGGTCTGAAGAATGGCCTGGAGAACGCAGATGAATCAAACAACAGTGAAAACAACAGGTAAATGAGCAGCACCTGTTTCAAAGCTCTAAAACAGTACATGTGTCCACTGTGTCTTCGCTGCACTCTGACCCTGAACCACAGATGGAGACATTCTGGATTCTCCTCTGAACTGCTCCATTTGAGGAGAAATGCATGTGTGTCACCAATGCTCTCTGGGCGTGTCCCAGGCGGGATGGGGCTCTCCCTCTGGGCCTGATTAAAAGGCTGTGGGGGGAGGGGAAGGATGGGGGAGTGTGGGGTCAGGGGCGTCCTGTCCACTCCTCGGCTCGACTCTCCTCCTCCTCCTCCATTGCACCACAAACCAGAACCAAGGAAATACTTGAAAAGGTTTAGATCAATAAAATCCATACACATCTATCTCTGCTCATTAGACCTATGTTAAAACTTCACCAAATATGGATCGAAGGAAAGACTTTCTTGCTCTAAGATATTTAGCATTATTTTATACTTTAGTTAGATATTGTGTATACTTGCTTCTTTATTATGCTCAAGTTAAAGATGTTAAACTTTATACTACAATCTCTTAATCTTAATATTTTTTAATGCTGCAACTTTTCTTGTGACCGAGGAGGTAGCAGCCTCTTGCCAAGTGCAATTATGTTTTATAAAGATATTTTTGGAACAAATATATTTTAATTGAATAGCACCAAGAACTATATCATTTGTTATATTAAAAATGTCCACATGAAGTTATAATGCCTTGTAAACAACACACGTGTATTCTAACAGTTGTATAATCAAATCATCGTTCATTGCTCGACATACAGACTCTAAAATGTGTGTGTTCTCCACCAAGTTTACTGTGGAGTTTTACTACTCTTAAAAAGAAATAAAACAGATGAACTAAAAACAATACTAGTGTGAAGATTTGTCAATGGGACAAGAAAAAGGTCTTCTGTTTTCAGGGGACAAGCAGATT